AAGAAAGAAAGAAAGAAAGAAAGAAAGAAAAAGAAAGAAAAAGAAAGGAAGGAAGGAAGGAAGGAAGGAAGGAAGGAAGGAAGGAAGGAAGGAAGGAAGAAGGGAAGACATAGGCCCGAAACAAACACCACGACAGAGGCTGGAAGGTGACCTGCCACCAGCAGTGTATGGTGTCAGGGCAAACCCACAGGTGACCTGTGACCAACAATGCATAATGTCAGGGCAAACTCAGCCATCAGTTCAGCTGCCCTGGCTCAGAGTTCTCCTGCAGCTCCAGGGTGAGCTGCTGAGATGGATTTGCAATTATAGCTGCCATGGAGCTAGGAAGCATCACTCACACTCTGTGTTGTGAGAGGTAGCTGCACCGACAGCCCACTCTGGACAGCACAGGGACTCCACCCTGCAGCTCCTGCTGCTGAGGCTATGGAGAATTAGACTCCCAGTCTCATACCCTTCCTGCTCTCCCCCGAATGTAAGTGCAGTGGGAGAGACATATAGACCAGGCCTTCAGGCTGAGCTATGCGGGCTACCTGCAGATACCTGCTGGGCCACACTGCATAAGGCCCCACAGCACAGAGAAGGTTGACTCTTCAGTAGGCTGAGTGACTCCAACTGCCTAGTAGCCTCTGGACTCCATCTACCTGAACAGAGGACAGAGAGCCTGTGGGGCTCTTTCTGGCCAGGCCTAAGCCATCTGTCTTGAGTTCTCAGCGACATCATCAGTGGCCACATAAGAGCTGCAAACTCCTGGCAGAAAGGGGGAAGGATGCTTCGAACAGACTTGGAACCTAGTATCGGTCTCTCCTTTAAGACACTGCTGCTGAAGGGCAGCATCCACCGAGCAGATCACAGCTCAGACTGCAGAGAGCGGAAGGACAGGAGCAATCTGAGGCTAACCCCATGACCAACTCTGGGAAAATGCAGAGCATGTGGGGCACTGTGCTAGCGGAGGTGGTAACGTGGGTATTGAGGAGCTCATGCTTCAGCTGAGATCTGCAGGAAGAATTCACATGGTGGGGTGTTACAGAAAGACTATTCCAGAATGAGGAATAATGGCCAGGGCTAGACGCCTCGAGGCTCAGGAAAGAAAAAGTGCAGCACAGAGGTGTTTGGAAGGGGCTACACAATTGCACGTGCACACGCTGGGCGGAGCAGAGGGCCAAAGACTGGGGGTCCCTGTGGAGGGAGACTGCTGGAAACACTCTCTACCAGTGACTGCTGGTCCAGCTGGGAAGGAAGGAGATTGCAGACCTTGTCTGGAGCCCAGAGCTCAAAGACTCAGTGCCCCTGTGCCCAAGGATGGTCCAGCCCGGCTCTGTCTGCATCACTGGTGGACTTTCCTCCAGTGGTTGGGCTAGGAGTAGGCAGAGAGGCAAAGTGCATCCCAGGTGCACACCTGCTGAGATGGTGTGTGCGTGTGTGTGTGTGTGTGTGTGTGTGTGTGTGTGTGTGTGTGTGTGAGCCTAGTGGCCCACACATGGAGGTACACTAGAATTGATGCCCAATTAGGTGGCTGGTTAAATGTTTTCATATATCATGGAAGCACAGTCCAGTCCACAGGGAGAATTAACTGGAAGCAAGTGCTCTGTAACCACACTCCAAAGCAGAGTGGGGTAGCAGGAGCAATTTTCCTTCAGAGCTACTCTGTACCGGGTGTCAGTGATGAGATTCTGGGGTCTGGGTTTGCCTTCTATTTTATGTAAATTTTATTTTATTTTATATGTATGGGTGTTTTGCCTGCATGTATATGTCTGTGCACTACTTGTATGTCTGGTTCCTGTGGAGGCCAGAAGTCACACCCCCTCTAACTGGAGTTACAGATGATTGTGAATCACCATGTGGGTGCTGAGATTTGAACCCTCATCCTCTAGAAGAACAACAAGTGCTCATAACCACTGAGCCATCTCTCCAGCCCCTTGAGTTCTGTCTTATTGTTGTTGTTGTTTTTAAAAGGATTAAACCTTCATCAGCAGCGAGACTGGAGGCTGCCTGCGCTCTGCTCCTCATACCAGACCACTTGAGGTGTGCACAGCTCCAGAGAGGCTGTCACCTGTCCCCGTGTTTCTGTGGCTTCACTAGTGGGCTGCGTTTGCAAACAGCCATGCACAGGGTGGCCTCAACTCTCCTCAGGCTTCTCTTCAGCTGCTCTTCACAGTCCAGCCAAGCCAAGTAAGACCAGGGAACAAGGCATCTGGTGGGCTTATTTTCCTAATACAGAGCACAGTAAATCAAATGCTCATCACATTATTCCCTATAGCAAGGCCCTGAGTTCATGGCTACCACACCACACTAACCAAAGCAGCCTCCCAAGGTTTCCCTGAGCCCTGCAGCATCCAGAGGGACTCATTACACGGGAGGAGGGCAGCAGCATGGGATAAGGCAGCCACCAGCTGGCCCTGCCTCTCCTGTCCTGTGAACAAGCAGGTCCTCAGCCTCACCATGTGAAAGGTGACACATAGCACTGTCACTCAGAACTGCAGGCTGTGTTGGGACCCCAGCTGAGAGGACGGATTCAGCTCTATTTGGGTACCATTCTAGCCGGTCTTCTCCATCCTCCCTTCCTGGGATCCAGGAAACTCAACTCAGACCCCCTTTCTGCTTCTCCAGCCAAGCACAGGGACCTCCACTAAGAGAGAGCAGGGCAGAATGGCTTCAGCGGTTCCCTGGTGCCCAGCCTCGTTGGTCATCCACACTACCCAGGGGCCTTTCTTTAGCCTGTGGCCCCGGGAGAGGGCTGCAGCCCAGGCTGGCTGCAGTCAGGGGGCTGCTGAGGGAGGGGTTTCAATGGATGCCTCCCAATCCAGCAGGCTCCCTCCTCACTCAAGGCACAGCCAGAGCCCAGCCAGAGCCCAGGCAGAACAAACAGTTCTTTGCTAATCGCTCCCTTGAGTCTAGACTTTGCCTTCACCTCCAAATAGCAAGTTAGTTTATCCGCCCTGGTCTCTTCTCAGACCACCAGCTAGTGCAGGCCAGCTGATACATCATGAGTCCTAGAGACTCGCCCACCACCGTGGAGTCCTGGCATTGCAAGAGGCAGACAGACTTGGCTCAAGGGCACATGTGTTCTCCTCCCATGCTGCCTCGGTGGGGCACACACCATCTGGGGTCATATCATCCCAGGTGACAAGGACAAAAATCAGAGGGAGCATCCAGAATCAGGGTTGGCATGTAGCTTGACAGTGCAGCACCTGCCTAGCAGTGTGGAGCCTGGGCTCCATCCTAGCACCATAAAGAGTAACAAGCACCAGGCTGACTCCGGGAGACCAAGGCAGGCCAGAACTGCAGAGACTGGCAGGACATGGTAGCCACTGCATGGGCATAGAGCTGTCATGGGGAAAGTTTGAGAACCAGAAGGTGGCTGCACAAGGCTGGGACCACCAAGTGTCACCAAACTGCGTACCAGCTATTATTAGCTTGTGTGTACTTTAACATACACCTAGAACATACACCTACATATGGGTGACAGTCAGATACAAAGATACTGGGGACTAGATTAGAAGGGGTATATGGTGATATATTGTATATCCTAATAAACCTATCTGGAGATCAGAGGACAGAGCCAGCCACTAGATTAGACATAGAGGCTAGGCAGTGGTGGCACACGCCTTTAATCCCAGGAAGTGATGTCTGGGCAGAGAAAGGTATGTAAGGCATGAGGAAACAGGAACTCACTCTCTTGAGGCTGAGGATTTTGTAAAGGTAAGGACGTGGCTGGCTGTTCTGTTTCTCTGATCTTTCAGCTTTCACCCCAATATCTGGCTCCTTTTTTTTTTTTTTTTTAATTATAAGACCTTTTAAGATTTGTCTTACAGGGATATAGCCAGAGGACCAAGGGACAGGGTCTTTCCAGCTGTCTGCTGGAGTCCAGTGCTTGAGAAGGTGTTGAGTCCAGACACAGAAGCACCCTCCACCCACTCTTGCAGGAGTCATGCACAGCTGGGAAGTTTTTTTCTGTGTGGCCCAAGCTGGCTTTAAACTCCTGGGTTCAATCACTATTCCTGTCTTGACCTCTCAGGTAACTGGAACCACAGGCATGTACCACCAGGCTCAACTTACTGTAACATCCACTGAGTCCTCTCTTCATGGTCCTACCTGGGCCTGAGGTGGGCTGTGATACCATTTCCCTGGCTCCCCCTTCCTGGCCCTGGTGCCCCAATAAAGTCTCCTCACATGCAGCCATGCATGCCTGTGAACCCAGCCTGGCTCCTGTTTTCCTACCAACACCCTCCAGGAAGAGGCTACCAATCCACTTCACAGAGGAGAAAGCTCCCAGAGGTAACCTGCTCAGGGTCGCCAGCACTAAGGGGCAGAGCTGAGGCTGACCAGGGACCTTCCCCAGGCTGGCTTTGATTCACAGTAGGATCCAGAGAAGGCTGTTGAGCCAAGGATGCTTGGAACACCTTCCTGTCTGTCACAGCCGAAGCAGGATGTTGCTCCTCTGTTATGACAGTCACAGTCGAAAAGACAGGGAGCTCAGGCTGGGAGGAGTACAGAAAACCTGGAGCACTCCCGAGCTGCTGCTGGGATGCAAAGTGGAACAACCACTGAAGAGAGCAGTGTGGCAGGACCCTGAAACATTAACAGAGTGACCCTGGGATGCAGAGCGTCACTCCTCAGAACACACCCAAAGGAACTGAGGAACTCAGATACTTGCACACCATGCCCACAGCTGTACTTCTCAAGGGAGCTCAAAGTGTCACAGGCAGATGGATGAGCAGAACTTCATTAACCCCCACAGCAGAACGTCACTAAGTCTCGTGGAGGAGAAAGTTCTGACCTGTGCTCCAGCATGAGGTCGTTATGCTGAGTGCAGTATACTGGTTACACACCCTGATTCCTCCTACACAGAGTTCCTGGAGAAGTGACATGAAGGACAGAAGCAGAGAGGGGAACCAGGGCCAGCACATGGGAGGGGGCTAGTGCTTAAATGGTACAGAGTTTCGGCTTTGGAAAATAAAGAGGTTCTGGAGATGACTGATGGTGGTGACAGTTATAAAACATAACCTGGTGGTGGTGGCGGTGGCGGTGGCGGTGGCGGTGGCGGTGGCGGTGGCGGTGCATGCCTTTAATCCCAGTGCTTGGGAAGCAGAGGCCAGCCTGGTCTACAGAAGGCACAGTTCCAGGACAGGCTCCAAAGCTATACAGAGAAAACCTGTCTTGAAAAAAACAAAACCAAAAACAAAAAACCACAACCAAAAACAAACCAACACCGAACTGTTTAATGTTACTGAACTAAACCCTTGAAAATGGGTAGGGGTACAGTGCTTCCCTGAACTGTCCTTATCCGGTGGGTCACATTTAAACCTTGACCACGGTTCAGCTAGGACAGTAAGATGAGACACATTCCAAGGCTGCTCCCATGACCCAACACAGGAAGGAGACCCCAGGAGCCTCGGGGTCTGCCCACACAGCATTTCTGACAGGCATGCCACTTCCCAAGGGCCGGAGCTCTCCAACTCCCCAGCTGGTGCTGGGGTGTTCCTCAGGCTCCGCAGCTGCAGAGGAAGCAGCAGAAGGGACCTTGTTGAGCCACGGGTGAACGGGGGCCTGCTGGGAAGGAAGGCTGCTGGCCTCCAGCTCTGCATCTTGAGCCCCAGTCACTTCTCCCCTAGGGGTCCTGCATTCTGGGAAGGAAGCCCTGGCCCTCCAAGAGTCCTCAGAGAGAGGCAAGGAAGCTAGACATGTTGCTCATGCCTGTAATCCCAGAATTTGAGAGATAGGATTGCTACAAACTCAGGGCCAGCCTGGTCTATAAAGTAAGTTCCAGATAGCCTGGGCTACAGAGCAAGTCCCTGTCCCCAAACAACAAACAAAACAAACCAGAGTGAAGTTTGAGAAGCCAAGCAGAGCCCAGAGCAACCAGATGACCTAACTACAACGGGGAGATTTTTTTTTTTAAGTTTTTTTTTTTTTTAAGTTTTATTATTTATTAGGTATACAGTGTTCTGTCTACATGTATGCCTGCAGGCCAGAAGAAGGCACAAGATCTCACTACAGATGGTTGTGAGCCACCATGTGGTTGCTGGGAATTGAACTCAGGACCTCTGAAATTGCAGCCAGTGCTCTTAACCTCTGAGCCATCTCTCCAGCCCCACAACTGGGAGATTTTAGAGAGCAGACTTTAGAGAGTAATCCGGGCATCAGCCAGGCTTGTCACAGCTGTGTCGTAGACCGGGTTGATCTTGCTCTGTCAGGAGACCCCATCCTAACAAAGATACTTAAGAATAAAACCCACAGAAGGACGGAATGAGGGCTACAACCCCACAGGACCAAGTGAGAGGTATACCCAGGAAGAACTTCTCACAGCTGAGGGGAAGAAGGCCCATTTAGCACAGCACCTGGACTGGGGATAGGCAGGGCTGGCTGGAACTGTACAGGATGGAGTAAGAGCTCAAATGACCTTTGAGGTTGCTAGGTTGAAAGCACCTGGGCAGGGGAATGACCTCTGATAGTATCCCTTAAGGGTTGGGATGGACATGGGCTCTCTAGGTTGTCTGAGGAGCTTAAAGATGCCTTCCTACCAGGCACCTAGTGGCACCCATTTCTAAAGAAGCCTAGGAAGGGAATAGCTGACTGGCCAAGCTCATAGAGAACATTCCCAAACCAGACCAACTTCATCAGGTTGGAGAACAGAGAGCAGAATGGAGGACCAGTCACGTGGCATGGGGAAATCAGATGTGCAGCCTTAATCCACATTTTTACCCTGTTGTGGGGATGGACAAGGCCACCCTACAAAAGATGCTTCATGTGCCAACCAAGGATAGGTGTCAAAGGACCTGCTCCCTCTAAGGATGATGACATTTGTAGTACTTGTCCAGCCTGGAGATGTTGAGCAGCTCAATCCCTCAGAGACAGGAGGCACGGACCAGCTTCTGGCAGAGAGACAAGCTAAGTGGGACCCTTGCCCCATCCCACACTCCTGATCCACACCAAGGGAAAAAAACCAAGGGTCTGCAGTTAGGGTGTCCCACTATGGGGAATATGAGTATGAGGGACCTAGGCCCATCACTCATATCCCTGCCTGGCTTCCCACACACCAGACACTGGGTGACTAGATGGCCACCTCAGAGGTGCCTCCTGCACCTACAGAGCCAAGCCAGGATAAGAGGAATGGACAGGCCAGGTGTGCGTGTCCTATCTAAGCCTCAGTGGTCGGTCCACACAGGGTACTTTTCCAGCCTCGGCGCTCTCAGCTTCTAAACTGCAAGAGCACGTCAGAAATGAGCTGCTGTCCTGCCCACCCCACCTTCTTTAGTGCCTACAGCAGTACACAGGCTTCCTCCAGCCTATGTATGCACACGGCCTGGGATGAATCCACGGGACCTGAGAAGCGGACACAAGGCTCAGAAGTAGCCATACTAGTCTTGAGCCACATCTGAACAATGGGTTCCACTGTCCACATCTGAACAATGGGTTCCACTGTCTTCCTGCACAGCCTGAGACCCTATGGCACAGCTCAGCTAGGCCCACTCCAGGGAGGGAGGTCTATGCAGAGGCTCAGCTCCCTCGCCTTACCATCTACACCATCAACTGCTCTGGCCATTTTTCTTGATGGGGATATAAGCAAGGAGAATCTCCCCAGGTATTGTCCCTCTGCTCAAGCTGTCCCTTTCACTGGACAATGAAATGTCATATCCAAAATCACAAGGATGCCTCTGCCAACAGAGATCCAGGTGGCTGACAATGGCCTGAGGCCTCTAGGAGTAGTGCTCCCTGGACATTCCGACACAGAACTCCCAAACATCGGTGGACCAGCTGGCCCTCCCTCTCCTGCTGACCATGACTTTCTCATGGACAGCAGCCTTCATGGTGACCCAGGGCTTACCAGTGGGAGCGGAGGACGTTCAGAAGCAGGATGCTGCTGCCCAGGAAATAGCAGGCTAGGTAGGGGGACCCGAAGGCCCTGCTCAACTTGCGAGTTCTCTGCTCCCACCTTGCTACCTGCATGAAGGGCCGAGAATAAGAGCGAGAGGTGAGGTGTTTGCTGGGGTACAGGAAGGGTGGAAGAAGCAGGTCTGAGTGCCCAGGCCCAATTCCACGGAAGGTGAACGATAGGGGTGCAGCAGCTGTGGTCAGTTGGGAGTCAGCGACATCTCGGGGCTGTTCTCCACCATCCCTTGGTGTAGGCAGGTCGGGGTGGCTAACAGGCTGGCAATCATGCCTAAATGTGGCGACTCAATTCTCAGGCTGTCTTGGGGACTGTGTCTCCCATCTCATGCAGTTCCAAGGGCTCCTATCGTCAGAAAGAGACAAGATACCACCAACAAAGAAGCCTCAATGATGGTGGCCCCAAGCCTCTTCCTGTCACCATCAGGAACTCTCACAGGATTGTTTCAAGGGGCAAGACAAAGGAAAGGCAGGCCTTCACCCCACTGTGCTCAGCCTGGCCTCTCCCAAAGGTACAGACTGCACATGCATCATTTTAGTCTTAGAATCCAACTAGTCACATCTCAACTCTCAATGTTAATTAGCCAGTCAGAAGAAAGGAGGCAGCTCTCTCGCCTCTCTGCAGACCCCACCCCTGAGTTCTCTACACACATCCACATCCGGGTTGCTAGGGTTGCCCCACTGGGCTCTGGTGCATTGAGCCTGACCCAGGTGCTCAGATGAACCCTCTGCTGATGCAGAGAAGGGAGGAAGGGTGGAGAGGATGCCAAAGGACAAACATACACTCTGATTGCCTAATTATGAAAGCGAGCTGTCCCCCTCCGAGTCCTGAACATGAATATGTATGTGTGTGCACATGTATGTTTGTGCACATTAGCATGTCCATGTGTCCGTGCACATGTATGTGCATGTGTGTATCCATATATCCCTGTGTCCATGTATGTGTGCGTGGACGGCCCTCAACTCAACTTGGAATTTTTCAGTTTTAGAACGGTGCAAAGTCTTGTTTTGGGTGGAAGCCACACTCAAAATTTGCATTCAGTTCTTCCCAGCCTGTGACGTGTGATCTAATCCCCTCACAGCACTGAGCAGTGTCAGGGTACAGCCCCATCGATCATGAGAGAATTGACTGCTCCTCTACAGTGGGCTATGCAGGCAGAATTTTTTTTGTGGGGGGGACCCTTAGTCAATAAATGCCATGAGCTAGTCAACAGTTTATCATAAAATAGGTTACAGCAAGAGCGGCTGAGCGGGGATAGTTATTTAGATGTTTTAAATACATTCAGTGGGGTTTGTCTGTTTTTATATTTCCTACTATGTTTGCATATAAGTATGGAAACATGTAGACACACACACACACACACACACAGACAGACACACAGAGGCAGGCATGCACGCACAAGTACCGTGGAAGAGATGTGGAAGTCAGAGGACAATTGTTCATTCCTTCTACCATGCCGCCTCTAGGGACTGAATTCAGGTCATCAGGCTTGGCAGCAAGTCCCTTAACTTGCTGAGCCAACTCACAAGCCCCCAGATAAATTTTTTATTTATGGTATTTGATGTTTTCAATTTACTATGGCTCACCCTGACCAGACCCCCACCATAGGCAGTGTATATCCATTGGGGGGGGTCCCAAAGCCCCCCACATTGCTGACACTGCCAGTGATTTTTATTTGTGGAGAGACTGGGCTATTTCTCGTAGCGCTGCACTGTTTCTTTCCCACCATTCTGGGGCACAGGACACTAGGGACCGTCACTACATCTATCACCATCCTGGCCCGCAGTCACTGTCTGCTGCCCAGCTGACTCCTCAAACTGGCCTGCCATTTGGGGGAGCTAACTGGTGGGGAGGTGCTCACCAGCTCCAGGTACTACTGATGAACTAATTGGCGTCGGGCAGCTGATTCTCCATCTCCAGCATCCCCGGAGATGCTGTCCTCGAGCCCACATAAGGGCAGGAGAGGCTCTCCCAGGCCTTCTCCTTTGTCATTTTTGGTGCACTCGCGAGGTCTCTTGGAAGGCAAACAGCCCTTAGACCTTCCTGGAAGGTACCCCTCACCTCAACCCCCTCAAGATGCTGAGTTCTCTTAGGAGGAGGAAGGAAGGAGGGCCTTGGGGGGGGGGGTCCAGGGATCCAAATGCCTATGGCCTAAAGCCACTTCAGCAGACTCTTTGGGACCACTCCATGTGTTTGTGTTTGGACTGAAACTCAAAAGGGTTTTTTTAGTGCTACAACTTCTTTCTTTGGGCGTTTCCATCACCCCACAGAAAAGCCTATACCCATCAGTACCCACCCACCCCATTTTTCTTCCCCACCCCTGGTACCCACCAGTCCGCTCTCCATCTCCAACAATTTGCCATGCCAACATTTCACATAGACCCACAGCCTTTGTGGGTGGCTTCCTGCAATTTGTGCGAAGGGTATATGAATTCGAGTCCTTGAAGCAACATTACCCTGTCCAGTCACAAGGTGGTGGACATCAGGGAATTGTCACTTTGGCTTTTTTGAATAATGCTGGCAGTGAGCACTCACGTCTAGGGTTTTTATGGGCATGTGCCATCCTCTCTTCCGGCCATACACCCAAGTGCAATTGCTGGGGTCGAATGAGGAGGGGGAGGGTGGGCTCAGCCCAGGGAACTTTGGCATGGGTGGAGGGGTTGGCAACCCTAGTTAGTGCTACTGTTGTCAGTGACACTACTATAAAGCATCAGTTGCTGTGGAGTCACTGTTTTTCTTGGTCTCAAAACAAGGCAAATGCATGGGAAATTCCCATCCACAGGGGCGGAGACGGAGACTGGGGCCTTGGAGACTTCCCCTTAGGCCCCAGCCTAGAATTCTTTCTATCCAAACACCTAATCTGTAGATGTAACCAACCGTCTTATTAAATAAGAAACACAGAACCAATGTAAAAGAGAAAACCAAGAGATCAGAGCTCAGAGCTAAAATCTTACCCTTCCTCCTGCAGTGCTCCTAGCTCCCCGAAAGAGACCTATTTCCTGCGTGTATATCTTTAAATAATCTTTCTGTTCTGCCTTCTCATTGGTTGTAAACCCAAACACATGACTGCCTCGTCACTGCCTGTTAAGTACAGCCCTCTAGGTCTTAAAGGCGTATGTCTCCAATGCTGGCTGTATCCCTGAACACACAGAGATCTATGGGATTAAAGGCGTGTGCCACCACCGCCACGCTCTTTCTATGGCTCTAATAGCTCTGACCCCCGGGCAACTCTATTTATTAACATACAATTAAAATCACGTTTCAGTACAAATAGAATACCACCACACTAATCAGCACGTTTGCTTGTTGTCTTAGTGAGGGTCACTGTTGCTGTGATGAAACACCATGACCAACTTGGGGAGGAAAGGGTTTATTTCACTCACAGTTCCATTTAACAGTTTGTCACCCAAAGTAGCAAGGGCAGGAACTCAAGCAGGGCAGGGACCTGGAGGCAGGAGCTGATGCAGAGGCCATGGAGGGGTGCTACTTACTGGCTTGATCATGAGTGCTTGCTAAGCTTGCTTTCTTATGGAACCCAGGACTATCAATTCAGGGTGGCCAAACCCATAATGGACTAATCACTAATAAGAAAATCCCCCAAGCCAGATCTTATGGGAGCATTTTCTCAACTGAGGTTCTCTCTCTAAGATAACTGTAACTTGTGTCAAGTTGACATAGAATTAGCCAACACACTTGTGGTCACTGGATTACCCATCTCTGGTTCACTGATATTTCTTCTCCCAGTTGGTAATATTCTCAGATATAAAGTCTCAGGACATGTGGGATCACACAATAACATCTCTAGCCCTAAGGGACCTTCCCATAACCTGCATCACACAGAGGTCGTGGAATGGAGAGTCACAGTTGGGGGGACTTCCTTGAGAGAGGGAGGGAAAGAAGGAAGAAGAGGAGAAATCCCAATATTGGGTGAATGGAACCAGTGAACAAGGCATTGGAAATGGCCTAGGAAGAAGCCAAAAGGGAATGGAAGGGTTCTACTGTTGATGTGAGCTGTGGGGACATCTGTCAGGACTGAGACAGCTGTGCGTTTCGAGTATGTATGCTTCACTGTACGGACAATGTACTCTAGGAAGTTCTTAGAAATCGCATCTTTAGGGGTTGGGGGTTTAGCTCAGTGGTAGAGCGCTTGCCTAGCAAGCACAAGGCCCTGGGTTCGGTCCTCAGCTCTGGGGGGGGGGGGATTCATTTATAGCCGGGCGGTGGTGGCGCACGCCTTTAATCCCAGCACTCGGGAGGCAGAGGCAGGCGGATCTCTGTGAGTTCGAGGCCAGCCTGGTCTACCAAGTGAGTCCCAGGAAAGGCGCAAAGCTACACAGAGAAACCCTGTCTCGAAAAACCAAAAACAAAAAACAAAAAAAAAGATAGAAATCGCATCTTTGCTGGACCTGACCTCTAGGGTCAGATGAGAGAGTGAGGCCGGCTGCCAATGACATGGACCCTGCAGGCCCTCCCTCATCCCCTGAAGGCAGGTCTTTTCTCCTGGCTCAATGAGGTCTTCAGTACACACCCCTAAACACCCAAGGGTACACGGCAGGCCTGCTGAAGCCCACATCGCAAGAATACTCTCATGCAGCAGGAGGGAGGCCACCCTGTAGCCAAGCAAACTAAGCCTGGAACAGCCCAGACAGGCCTTGGGTCCCTGACACCAAGCTCTGCTCTGTTTCCAGCCTTTGGTGTTCTGGAGACAAGAGGAGGTACCCTTGAGCACTGTGACACCTGGGCCTCCCTCACATTGCCAACTCCACCTGTCACTTAGCCTGTGACAGTAAGTGAGGAATGTACTTTTTGAACAAAATGGCATCATAGAAAAGGGGGAAGGCAGCCAGCAAGTCCTATGAATAACCCCATCACTTGGATTCAACAGCTGTTATTTGAGCCAATCAAATCGTAGCCTGTGAAGACTCCCAGATCCCAGGGTGACTGTTCTGCTGTCCTTTTTCTGGATGCTGAACTACACACTTCATCCAAGAGGCAAGAAAAGGTGCCAGGGCTTCAGTGAAAGCTGCTGACACATGAAATCCTGCGACAGTTT